TGAGAGCCCCGTAAACACCTGGACTAAGTCGACTCATTAAAATGTTGCGCACCACCCTCTCAATCCCGTGAAGAATTTTGACGCGCCACTCAGCGATAAATACTCAGCGTTTGCTTAGGGCCTGTCAGATGTCGGGCGGTTTATCCTGTCACCAGCCGGAGGACGTTGAGTATCTTTAATAATGCGGCCTGGAGAGTGCGCAGGAAATCCAGGCTCACGAGCGCCGCTGGGCTGCTCAAATGTCACCGGGAGACCCACATGGAACAGCAATCGGAGCCGAACGAGCAGAGCCGGCGCCAGACTGTAACCCACTTCCCAGCTGCGCTGGGCTTGATGGTGTTTTCTGCTGATTCTCCTCCACGCCCCCTCACCCGCCGCTCCTCGCAGTCGCCTTGGTAACACTGTGGCCCTGACCATGACATCGCCACGGATCTTCCTCCTAATTGCATCTTTCACCAGTGCTCATCACCTGGAAGCTTGTTACCATGGACAGAAAACACGCCATCAAAAACGCCAAGCTGTTTTCACTCAGAGAGCTGCTAAGTTATTCATATGATGATAATCGTTTTGAGATATCAATACAGACGTTCTGTGTCTACTAAAAAAGCGAGAACATGTGAAAAGTCAGTCTCTCAGCTGACGGCTTGCGGTCACCCAGCAGGATGTGGGTACGAGAGTCTCAAGCAATCTCCCTTCATGTCTAAAGAGCACAAGAGAGGAAGCTCCCCCCCACCAAAAGCAATCTCCTCTTAGGCAAAGCTGTCATGTCAAGATGTCCAGTCTAATGTGTCTATCAGTGTCAGCCATCTACTGTGTCTGTGTTCAAGTATACTTTATCTAGGGCATCTGTCTGTCTGTCTCTCTGCATGATGTACCTAATCTACCGTGTCCATGAACAAGTATACTTTATCTACCGTGCCTGTGTGCCTGCGCGGTATATATAATCTACCAAGTCTCTGTGTTTATTCTCCTGAGTCTCACCATCCCTGAATTTTATTTACTGAGTTTGTGTTTCTATGCATATGTGTCCATAACCCATATCTATATCTATAGTGAATCCTCTCTAACTCCAGCCTACTGCATCTCTAGATGACCTGTATGATTTATTCGCTCACTCTGTAGCTGATCTGGTGCCACCTGAGAACCTCATGTCTCCAGCAGTTCAGACCTCTCCTTCTCCTCCCCATTTCACCTTCCTTCCCTTATTGTATGGTTCCCATGGCATCACGTTGGCATGGCAACTGCAGTGTGACATTATAGGAACGTTACGGGACCTGGAGCTGTCATATGACAGGTCGACCCTGGATGGGGCAAGGCTGACTCAGGGCAAAGTCCAGTGGGCACAGCTGGGGCGGAACCATTCATACCAGTGTAGGGCCCGGTGTCAGGCTAAGTGGTTAGTATCAAAGACCCAGATTCTGCACACTTTGAACTCCTGGCCAGCACCTTCTAACATCGTCATACTGATATTCAGTAGGTAACATGGATGATCTCAGCGAATTCCCAGGGACGCTCTGCAGTGATATCCTGGGCTCCGCCCATGAAATGCCCGTATTCACCCCCCTGGTTCTCGTTTAGCTCCACCCAAAACCCACAGTACCACACAGAAGACCCAGGGAAGCAGAGAATGAGGTTCATTAACGTCTCCCCTCCATGACTCTGCAAGCTTGACATGGGGATACTCATCAGCTGACGAGTGGCTAGAGGCAGAGAGCAGGAAGGCATGCTTGGGGGGGGGGTGACGGAATCAGCTTTTCGCAGCCCGCATGTTAACGGACGCTTCACCTTCAGCGATTCTCATTGGGCCCCCCTGCCTCCTCTAAGCCGGTTCTGCTGGACTGTCCTGGGCTCCGGTTCCCGTTTTTGGGCCGAGGGCGAATTGAACCATAACGGCTGTAAGCAGCTGAGGGATGCTGGGCCTTTAGGCCTGTCTGCTGCTCTCCTGAGAGACAGACTTCTCTGTTTTCAGCAGTATCGGCCGCAGAAAGACAACAGGACCCAAAGAGGTTGCGCATCGGCTCTCCGTGTCCATGAAAATTCCCCGTGGCTCTTTTGCCACAAACACCTTGCACCTCTTCCACGCTGTTGACTGTTTAAACCATTATGGGTTCAGCTGTATTTTTGGCTGCGTTGTTACATAAAAACCAGGAAGGGGGCACAGGGTATGTAGAAATACAGTTTGCCAACCGGAACATGGCACGTACACCCAGGGCTGCACGTGCATGAACACACAAACGCACACACACACACACACACACACACACAAACCCAGATGACCAGCCTACACTGATAACTTCTTGAAGAAGCACATGACTGGATACTTTGTCCTGACAATGTTACAGAGTATGGCTGCTGTCATCACTCCCCCCCCCCCCACAAACTAACTCTCTGCCCTCTTAATGGGAGGGGGGGTAGGAGGGCTATTTTTAGGCTTGATAATCAACATAAGGGAAACTGTCACGCAATCAGATGGGACAGCAGGTCATACATATCTGAATAGTGGACTAGTAGCCAACAAACCACTTTCTTTTTGTTACACAAATCAAAATAGGTGAATCTTATAGTAATGTAATGAATTAGGATCTAATCAGAATTTGCCAATCAAGCAAGGATTTTGAATGACAGACAATTAAGCCTCACGCTATATGTACAGTGTATGTGCGTGATGGAAGCCAGTCAGCTTGATGGTAAAAGTGTATGATTTTCTGCTGGACGTGGCCTCTGTGACTTTCCTCTAAGGGTCCAGCGGAAGTCAGCAAGCAAACTGGGACTCCACTTGCCACGGTATTGTTTTTCTGTATCAGAGAGAGAGCATGTTCATACATGTTACAGCCTGTAAACTTGGGCAAAACACACTTACAGTACAGTGCGTTCTCCGGTAAAATCCTAAAAATAAAAATAATTTTCCTAAATTACTCTTAATATGCCCATACTTTCTTAATAAGGAATTATATACCATCGATATTGTGTAAAACTATGGATGAGAAAAAAAATTCAGAGCCTTTCTTAAATTAGGATTAAAAGGTACAGAAAAAACCCCTTTTGCTGACCCATGAAAACATTTTTTGTTGACCAGTGTTATGCAAAATACCCGTGTTTTAGACATTTTACAATAATTATAGCAAAACTGACCGTTTCTCAAAAACCTTTTTTTAAGTGATTTCTGTATCACAAAATCTATCTGGCACACCAAAAATTACAAAAGAAACAAAAGCCTAGTAAATTAGCATAATACTATACAGTACATAAATCCATCTATCAATCCATTTTCTAAACATAAATTATTGAGGCGAGGGTCATGCTGTTCTAACTTAAATGGTAAACTGATAAAACCAAACATATCAAAGAACTCTGCAATTCCTGCTACGTCTGAGCTGTACTGGACCTCGTTATTCGGTTAGGTGCAAACCATCGTTTGGCAAAATCAAATGCAATTTTCCACACAGCAGCTGAAATTAGAAGAACATAAACAAGACTGTCAATAAGAATCAAGTACAGATTTCATGAAACATAGGCTTTTAAATGTGCCGGTCAGTGTTAATACGATGCAAGAGCAGCCAACAGCCTTGCTGTTA